AAAAGTAAAAGAAAAATTCTTTCATTGTTAGACAATCCCTCCCCCCAAGTCCACTCCACTATGCAGCCTTCATTCTGGACTCCTGTCATGACAATACCTAATCATATATCCCAACTAGAGTTTTTAGTAGATGGAGAGCTAACTAACAGTTCTGGTTTAACGGTTCTGAATTGCTGACATTCTAATAGGATCTCATTTCAAACCATTCCAAGATCTAACACCTCCAGGAAATCAAGTATAAGCTCTTGGGTCAAATGCAGTAATTAACACTTGCAGTGTTGGAGAATCTGTGAAGTCATACGAGGGTTAAATCTAAATGATGTTCAAGATTCACAGCCCTACTCCAGAAAACTTGGAACTTTGAATCCTGTGAAAGTCTAGCTTTATGGTGCAGCTTAGTGGTAAGGAGCTGTGCTGCAGCCTGAAGACTAGCAGTTTGAATACACTGGCTGCTCCATGGGAGAAAGATAGGCAGTCTTCTTTCATGCCATTTACTGCCTCTGAAAACCCAATGGCAGGTCAGCTATGGGTTCTGACTCAATGGTACACAACCACAACACAACACATTTGAAGGAGCCCCAGTGGCATAATGGGTTATGTGCTGGACTTCTAAAAAAGGATGTGGTTTGGATTCACCATCTGCTGTACGGAAAAGAAACGGTCTCTGTGGGAGAGACAGGCAGCTCCTCTCATTAAGATTTATAGCTGCAGAAAGAGAATGGAGGGTCATCATGAGTTAGAATAGACTCAATGGCTGACTTTGGGTTTAGAACATATTCTAAAGCCCTAGTGGCACTGTGTGAAAGACATTCGGTGATTAAACAAGAGGTCAGAGGTTTGAATCTAACAGCCTCTCCAAGGGACACAGGTGAGGCTGTCTGCTTCCATAAAGATTTACTGCCTTGGAAACTTCATGGGGCAGTTCTTTCTACTTTATCCTACAAGGTTACTGTGGCCGCCTGGATGGCACTGGATAAATCATATTTTCTTGCATAATTTCCTAGTTTTCTTCTTGTATTTTTATTTTAACACAGAGTTTAGGAGCAAATTATAAGAGTATATGACAGATTCTTGCAGTCCACTCTCAATTGGGCTTAGAATCCTCCAAGTGTAAGTCACTAAAAAGCCGTAAAACAAAAGAAGAGCCTATTAACATGCATGCTATTTTCCAAGAACATCTACTTTGTCATTGTAATCATTGTTAATGTGCTGCTGAGTTGGCCATGACTCATGAACAACAGATATGAGCCCTGCTTGATCCAGCATCCTTAATCATAGCTTAATGGAATATAAACAAGCATTAGTCTATTAGATTAGCTCACGTATTAGGTCCAGAAATCAAAATGGTACTGAGGGCATGGGCAAGGGCATGGGTGAGGGCATGGAGAGAGTTGGGAGGGGGAGGTGGTAGAAGACAGTGGACCCAGGGATTCCCGATGGGGGGGGGATGGGGAGCTGTTGGCATGCAGAAGCAACGGGCATGGGACTGACAGAAGCTTTCCACAGGTTGTCGATGTTGAATCCTAAATGAAACGAAACTGTCTAGGCCAATATTTTTAAAACTTTTGTGTCATGCCTCTAAGTTGTTCTTTTCAAAGTAGCAGATGAGTATCTTAGTTCTAGAACAGAAATACCACAAGGAGATGGCTTTAAAAACAAATTTATTCTCTCAGGAGTTTAGGAGGCTAGAAGTCTGAATTCAGAGCACTAGCTCTAGGGAAGGCTTTCTCTGTCAGCTCGAGAGGAGGGCCCTACAACAGGCCTCTATTCAACAGCTGTGAATCCAGTGGCCCCTAAGAAAGTCAATGTGTCTCATCATCTACCTTCCCTGGGTTTAGGAGGTCTTTAGTGCAGGTTCCCTTGGTTCTTCTTTCTTGGCGATAATCAGGTTTCTCTCCTTTTTTGCTTATTTGTTTAATCTCTCTTACAGCTCACAGTCGAGTGAAGATACAACTTAATCCTGTAGATTGTGTCCTGTCTCATTAACTACTGCAAATTCTGTCTCATTAACATTTGTTATTATGTACCAGTGAGTCCTAGAGAGGGTGAGGTCAAGCTGTTCTTTGGAGGCAAGGATTTTGAAGCTCCATCTCACATACTTTGGGGATGTTGCCAGAATGGACCGGTCCTTAGAGAAGGACAGCACAAGAGAGGAAGACTGCGGATGAGATGGATTGACTCAGTGACTGGGGCAATGGGGTAGGTGTGTCAGAGTCAGACCAGTTCAAGTCAATGCAGGGTTCAGTGCTGTTGTACATAGGGCCACTCTGAGTATTGGGTGATTCAATGGCACATAACTATAACTACCATTGAGTCAGAACCAACTCATAGCTGATCCTCCTGGTTATCAGAGGCTGTTAATCACACTGAAGGAGATTACTCATCTTTCTCCCACAGAGGAACTGGTGGATTCGAACTGTGTTCCTTTGGGTTGGCAGTATAAACCATTAGCATTAATGGAATCCCCAGAGACCATTGCCCCACTATGAAAATCCAGAGGTGTGGTCCCACCCTGAGACAGAGGCAGCTCTGCTCTGGGTAACTCTGGTGGCATAGTCTACATGGAGTTGTGCTGCTAAACCAAGGCCACACCTCTCTGGAGGTTTGAAACCACCAGTGGCTCTGTGGGAAAAAGAAAGATGAATAATCTCTTTTAATACCATTTAAAGCCTTGGAAACCTAATGGAGAGTCAGCCATGGGTTGGTTCCAACTCGAGAACAGTTAAGAGGGGTGTCTCACTGGCTTTTGCTTCCTGGTTGCTGGACCACTCACCACCTAGATCTCTTGGGCTGGCCCAGCCTTACCCAGCTCAGGCAAGTGCTGCAGAGCTTTTCAGCCCTCAGTAAGTGTCTAGAGGCATCCCACTCCACCCAGAAAACTCATCCTGAAAGCACTTGGCCTCCTCTCCACCAGTCAGCTGCCACGTTGTCTGCTGCTTTTTGCTGTGCCATCTCCAGTGTTACAGCTCTCTTTACCTCCTCCTTAGCTCTTACTAGAATTGCCTTTGGATGTACAAAATTCTACCAACAGCTTCATCCTAAGTTTTAACTATTCACATTCTTAAAACTCTTCTAGTCTTTCACCATCATTACCCAATTCCAAAACTGCTCCACAGTTTAGGTATCTATCAGAGCACCACACAACTCAGCTAGCACAAAATTTCATCTTAGTTATCTGGTCCTGCTGTCAACAAAAATGCCACCCACAAAAATGCCACAAGTGGGTGGCTTTAACAAACAGAAATTTATTCTTTGTTGGCTCTGCAGGAAAGTTCTTTTCTCTGTTCACCATCCTGGAGATGTCCATGTGTCTGGGGATCAATCTTCCCATGGGGCTAGAAGGTTCTCAGCCCAGGGATCCTGAATCCAAAGGATGAATTTCTGCTCCTGAATCTTCTTTATTGTTACTGGCTCTTCTTTCTCAGTGATAGGTTCCTTTCATTTCTGTTTGCTTGTTTTTTTCTTTTATGTCTCAAAAGAGAGTGATTTAAAATATGACTTAATCCTGTAAACTGTATCTTGCTTCATTTATATAAGTGCTGTTTCTCTTTTCCTGACTTATTGACATATAGCGGTTGTAATACATAGGATAATTACATTAAATCACAAAACGAGAGACAAGTACTTAATACTGAGAATCATGACCTGAGTTGACATATTCGCAATTCAATCCATAACATGGAGACTTTAGGAAGTTTGGCATGAGAGATTACACAGGAAGGAAGATGATAAAAATAATTTGACTTGGCTTCACAAAGGAAGAATGAAGAATGTAAAAAGGCGAAAATAGTTGCATAAATACAGTTATGACCTAGTTTTATTTTAATGTTGGAATCTGTAACAAGTAGGGGACTAGAAGACCCAGGTCTTACAGAACAGTGTTTTTAAGCTTTTGCATTTACCATCTGAGGGAGATTAACATTTACTTCTTTTTTTTACCTTTCCTCCTATCACCATCATCTGTAGAAAAAGCTGATAGCAGAGTAAATGAGAAAAATTATGAGAATGTGTTTACTTTAAAAAAAGTAAAAAAAGGAACATGTTTATTAATTTGACAGTATAATTAATAAATAAAAGCCTTAAATATCTTATAAAACTACAAACAAATACTCTTAATTTCGAAGAGCAGATGCCAGATAAAAGAACTTGAAATTTTAAGCCTTTCTGCTTTTATATTAAAAGTTACTATTAAGTCATAGTGAATGGCTCCCTCATTGTACATTTGGTTTGTAATACTTGAGGCTTTCGAGAAACCATTGCTATATATTAACTGTTGACTTAACAAATAGGTTCTATTTCAGCACAATTATAATGAAGCAATGCTTTTCACAGTAAGATAACACAGTACTTTCAATCAAACAGTTAAACCAGGTGGTGCAAACAGTCAGTGTGTTCAGCTGCTAAACTAAAGGCCAGAGGTTTGAGTCCACCCGGAGGTACACTGGAAGAAAAGCCTGGTGATCTGCTTCTGAAAACCCAGCCACTGCAACCCCCACATAGTGCTCCGACACCCAGAAGCTGCCAGAACTTAACACAGACTTGGCAGCAATGAGGAGCTGGTTACTGTTGTAAAAAAGAAATTAATTCTAAAATTCTACTGTTTTTAAAAATACTTTTAGCTCCATTTAGTAAACTTTAATGACTGACAACTCAAATGATACCTTTACTTCTCTATATTTTCCTTTAACCAAGGGTTTTAATATAAAATTTTCATTCAGATGGGCTGTGAGAATACTTTTGGAGTAAAGGTTTTAAAGTATCTTATTCAAATTGCTGATCATCTGCCTTACTGCTTATTTCAGGTGCTTTATGAAGGGTGGGGAGCTCTTGTGGCACAGCTGATACCAGTTTCAACTGCAACCTCAAAGGTTGTACATCTCTGGCACTTCAAATCCATCAGTGGCTCTGTGGGAGAAGAATGGGCAAAATTTCCCATTGTGATTTATGCTGTGGTCGTGTGCTGTCAGGCTGGAACCACTGACCCTCGAGTGGGTTTTTGGAGGCTGCATATTGCACAGGAGAAAACTGCTCACCTTTCTAACAGAGCAGCTGGTGGATTAAAACTGTGTGCCTTTAGGTTGGCAGTGCAGCTCCTTGCCACTAGGCCACCAGAGCCTTGGAAACCCATGGGCCAGCTATAACTCAAAATCATCAAATTTTGAGTTACTAAGAAAATCTCCTCTACATAAAAATGATTTAGAGAATAATCACAGTCAAATATAATCAGATCAGGCCAGGAATCACTACCTCCAATTTCAAGTACACAGCCTTGACTTTGGCCTCTGTGCCAAGTCACTGGTAAGCAGCCGGTCTAAACTATAGTTACACCACTGGAGGGAGCAGGAATAAGCCATTTCATCTACTATGTGAAGCAAAAACCAGGATGTGAACGTTTCGCCACAGCGTATTTCTATGCTCCTTTGAACTGTAAAAAAACCATGTGAAAATGTATAAATAAGCCGCGTGCTGAGCTTTCACTCAGTGCCAGGCATTGAGTGGGAAGCTGTGAAAATGCATCTTGTCATTGGTAACATGACATGCTCACCGAAAGTGGACAAATCGTCTCTGTCCCTGCTCCCCTATACTAGTCATGTGGTCTGAAGTAAACTGCTGTTGAGCGCCCCTGAGTTGTCTCCAACTCACAGTGATCTGATATTACAAAGAACTGCCCCTTGGGGTTTTCTTCCCTTGTGCAGCTGCTAGGTGGATCTGAACCTCTAGCCTTACGGTTAGCATCCAAGCACTTAACCACTGTGCCACCTAGGGCTTCTTCAAATTACTTAACATCAGTTTTCTCCTATTAGACTGTCAAACCACATCTTTGGAAGAATCATAAGATGCTTCACCAAAAACTAACTAGGAATGTCCAAACAAGGTGAGATGAATCTTCACTTGAGAAAAGTGATATGGATAAACTTAAAAAAGAAATAGTTCCTCTCTGACTAGAAATCTATGAGATTATCTGAAGTTGTTCTTACCTGAAGTTGTACCAAGAGGTGCTAAATGGATCCTCTGACCAGCTGACCCAACTTCTTTTTTGAGAAAGGAAGGAATATATCCTGGCTGATTGTAAGTTGCATAACTTCCATGATTGCCTAGTGATATAAAGATTCACAGTCAGAAGGTGGATAATGTAAAACACCAACAATCTCCAAATATGATTTTTTAGTGTTTATTATATTGCAGGCACTGGACAAGGATTTTTTTTTCCAGATATTCTTACTCATTCCATATAACAACCCTCTTAAACAGATTATAATCCTTAACGTGTGGCTTCCAGATGTCAAGTATAACTTGCCTTAGGACTGTGATTAGGTAGGTGATCCAGTTATACCTTAGCCCAAGGTCAAGTTCACCCCAAAGACATCAGATATTTTTATGACCCCAATTCTTAACAAGAGTGCATATTTCCCACCAGCATGAAGCCCCTTTTCTTGAGGCCTTCTTAGCCTTTCTTCATTTTTCAAAATCATTACAGGAAGTAATGCAATTCTCTTAGTATGTAATTCTCCCAGGGTTGTTGCAGAGACTGAATAAAATATCTGTGCCAAGCATGTTGCATACAATCTGGTATAAATGCCAGCGGTCACCATCGTTATCACTGTTAAGAGAATGATTGAGGGAATAGCTTGGATGGGCAGGAGGGAAGTATAAAGTCAAGAGACGAGTCAGGAGCTGACTAAAAGGGATAAACAGACAAGTTTTCAGGGTAAAGGAGGTAACAGAAGAGGAGGACCATAAACTCCTAAGCTTCTTGCTTTAATAGATTGAATGGTGTCTACCCCAAAATACATTAGAATCCTAACCCTTATGTATGTGGACACAATCTAAGGAAATGTAATTAATCAGTCATTTGAGATGGACCTAGCACAGGATGGATCCTTAACCTAATCATTTCTGTGTTGTAAAAAGTCAGCACAGACACAGAGACATGCACAGATAAGTCCAGGAACTAAAGATGTTTTGGAAGCTGAGATAAGGAAGGACCTCTCCCAAGAGCCACACCTCGAATTGGACTTTTCCCTTCCTAAAGTGTGGTGGTCTGGTGATGAAGAACTGTGCCTGCAACCTAAAGGCATGAGGCCTGAATCTGCCAGGAAAAGGAAGGACAATCTTCTCTTGTGTGATTTACAGCCTCTGAAAGCCTGCTGGAGGGACAACTTTGAGTCAATTCTGACTTGATAGTCTATAGCAATAGACTATAAGGAAGCTCTGGAGAATTGTGCTGCCAATTCAAACGCAGGAGGTTTGAATCTCCTAGCTGCTATTCAGGAGAAAGATGGGCAATCTCCTTCCTGTGCAAATTACAACCTCTGAAAACCAGCTGGATGGTCAGCTATCAATCACTGCCGACTATGGCACTGAGTGAGGGAGTGAAACAAATTGTGAGGAAAAGACATTTTTGTTCTTCAAAAGCAGCTTATTTGTAGTACCTGTTACGGCAGCAGTAGGAAACTAAGACACCCATTTGAGTAAATTTTTAAAAACCAATCCAGGAGAATAGTCACAGATGGGAATGGCCCAGCACCCATGGGATATTCACATGGTGAAGTGTGGTAGGCAGGCTGGGGATCTGTAATGATCAGGGTTTGATGGTCAAGAAAAACACTACTCAGAGAAGTCAGCAGACGCACAAAGACTCAGCACAGGAATACCAGCAATACCAAGGGACACAGCACCAAGAGCAAAAAAAAGAACTGTGTGAATCAGAAGGAAAAGACAGAGAGCTTGAAAGGAGGGAGCAGTGCGAGTGTAACATTTCAGGAGAGGTCTGATGGAAGGTGACCTGCTGGACAATGTGAAGACCTGGATGGAGCTACTTCTGTGGAGTGAGGAACGAACAGGAGGTGAGAGGAGGAAGCAAAGACTAATTCATCTTTCCAGGAGCCTTGCGAAGCCAAAAAGGAGATGAATGGTTTGTTAGCTAGAAGGGGAAGCAGGACTCCAGTCTCCATGGTGGTTTCAAAAACAGTTTCTCTGGCTGCTTCCACTGAGGTCCTCTGACAGGGCATCATCTGCTCACTGGCCCTCTCAGCCCTGGATCCCACGTGCCTTGCAGTGCTATGCAGAGTGGATGCTCAATAACTGTTTGCTCTTCAGTCACCAAATGCCATTATTTAACACATTATTTAAGAGACCCTCAAGGATGCCGAAGCTACAGCAGCTGGCAGAAGATCTCATGGGGTAAGTGCATGCTATCTGCCTTTTCAACACTGCTGAGCTTTGCATGTGCACTGCTGCTGTATTTATGCTTTTTCACCTTGGATATTCATTCTAAATCATAGTGGAAAAAAAAATTAAAAGAAAGCACAAGGCAGTCATCACATGCCCTAGCGGCTTCAGAATGTCTGTGTGCTCATCCTCCTGCTCAGAGCAAACACTTGCTGCGTGTGAACTGTATGAAAAAAATCCCAGGTCTGATGATACAGCAAAGCTGCTCCTAGCTGCTACTGACTTGATTCTGTCTAGGAAGGGGAATATTAGTTCCTTCTTTCACAGACAGAGAAATTGACTCAGGGAGCCTAAATAACTTGTCCAAAATGAAAAGCTGGTGAATGAAAGGAAAAAATTAAAAGCTGGTGACTCAAAGGAAGGGATTGTGTCAGATTCTAAAAGCCAAGCATTAAAGCATGACCTGAAGCTTCTGCTTACTGGAGAAAGAAGGCATAAAGACAAGCAAAGTGAATGGAGAATGCAGTCTTCTTAAATTATTTTGGCCTTGGCTGAATATTCAAGACCTCATTTTGTAGGAGAAGCCAGTGGATAGCGCTGCTTAAACCAGTGCCACGGGCCCCTGGCATCTACCACCTCTCCTAACCTCGTTACTTTTTTCTTTCAAGTGTTTGTCGTTGTCTACTGTCTATTCGGAAATGACTTACAGCTGACCATCCAGAAGGCTTTCAGAGGCAGTAAATTGCACAGGAGGAAACTGAACATCTTTCTCCCATGGAGCAGCTGGGTTGGTAGTGCAGTTCTTCTTTGAAGTGATTAGTATTTAAGAAATGGCCGTCAGAGCTCTTCTAAAAATACTCCCAGGATACAAAAAACAACAGCAAACAACACTGCCATCGAGTCTATTCTGATTCTCCTAGCAACCCACAGGACAGAGCAGAACTGCCCCACAGGGTTCCGTGATCGTAATCTTTGAGGGAGCAGGCTGCCAGGTCTATCACTTGGAGTTGCTGGTGAGTTTGAACCATCCACCTTTGGGTTAGCAGGCAAACATTTAACCACTGCACCAACCAGGAATGCAGACTACAATATTAAGGGGAAAACTACATCTTTTTCAGTAAGCTGACTTAGATTTCATTAAGAAGACAAGCTTTTTGAGAAAGAATTGGCCCCTATAATGCCCACTCCTACAGAAGTTCTTAAGACCTGGAAAGCTTGTGTCCCCCACCCCCACCCCTCATCCTTATCTGGTATCTAAAATCAGGCAACTGGCCCTCATGGTGGCCTTTTAAGACCTACTTAGGCAAAAAAGGTCGAGAAGAGGAATTGTGTAAGAAATTCAAACAACATATTGCACAACGTCCAGAAATTACCTTGTGGGTCCTCTAGTTTGTCAGGAAAACTTTCATTGCATGAGAGTTTTTCAATTGGTTTAATTATACTTTCTTCTAAAGCGAAGGCAGATGGAAGAAAAGAGTGAATAATAAGGAGAATGTTTTAGGAAAAGCAAAGAAAAACAAAAAAGGATTAGATGCGTCATGAGGATACAGAAAGACCTCTTAAGATGCAATGTGCCTGTGGGTCCGTCACAGCTTTAATTTGATGTCCACAGTGTACTTTCCCTGGTATTCAAAGTACAGGGCTACATTTTAAACAATCTGTTCAGTGAGTGAGTTCAGAGTGAGAATTCTTTTTAAAGTAACTGGGAGGAAATAAACAAGTTATCCAGTACTGCAGCATAAAGTATCTCAGCTCTTAGGTGGATATGAGGCATTAGAGTGTGAAAACTTGCAATAAGCCCAGAGTCGGTAGATTTCACATCAGAATATTTCAGTAGATGATGCACTGGCTACAACAGTGATTTCTGAAAATTTTTAGTATACTAACATCTGCATTTTAAAAACAATTTTAAATTACTTCTGTTCTTAGCGTACTTATTATAAGTGTTCACCATGATTTTAGCATTAAAAAACTTAGCATCAAAAGTTTAGCAAATGAGGTTAATTTCTGGCCATAGTTACAGATATTTTAAATTAAAATTATTACATCTTTCCTTTAAATGTAAACAGTGAAATACAAATACCACAATGGTTTGTTACCACAATGATTTTATATTCATCAATATGAATTTTTAAACTTGTAATTATATAATTTTATTTAATAGAAATTTATTTATAATGATATAATTTTGTAATTATAAAGAACAGATGAACAAGGTTCTTCCTAACAGTCAGAAATTTTACGTTAGTTCTTTCTCCTTGAAACAGAATTTTCATTCAAATGCTCCAAACCTTACAAGAATTTATTTTTAGGCTTAAAAGTTTTTCAACTGATATCCAAAAATGCATATAAATTAAAATTACTTTTTAAAAATGTCTTGTAATCATGAATTTGTAAGCATTTTCAAAGTTTTAAAAAATGTCTTATAATCAGGGAGCTGTGGGGGTAGAGCCCATAGGCACGTTGTGCTGCTAACACAAAGGTCAACGTGTGTCTGGCAGTTCAAATCCTCCACGGGTGACAGATGGCCAGAGTCCCCTCTGTGATTTCAATCCAAGCAACTCAACTCACTGCTGTTGATTTCTGGCAGACGGCAGTCCAGAAAGAGATCTCTCTCTCTCACTGCTACTGAGTTGGAACCGACTGATAGCTTGATCCTCCAGTAGTTTCAGAGGCTGTAAATCACACAGGAAGAAATTTGTCCATCTGTCTCCTGCGGAGCAACTAGTGGATTCGAACCGACAGAGAGGTGCCGCCTTTGGGTTAGCAGAGCGGCTCCCCACGGACCAGGCCGCCAGAGCTTCAAGCTTATGGTGTGCAGCCCTGAAAACCGATGGAGGGTCTCTGTGAACTGACTCAATGGCGCTAAGGGTAACCATGAGCATATTAAAATACTATTTTCTGCCTATGCCGTATAAGTATCCCATTTTATTCTCAAATTTGTCCTATGAAGTATACATTCTTTCTTTTTTTTTTTTACAGGTAGTTTAATTTTTCAACTCGACAGCATATAACAACAGTTTGATTTTTTCTTTTGTTCCCTTTGTGATTTTTACAGAGCATATTGGTTTTTCATTCAAGTTGTGATACATTTACAATTAAAATCTGTAGGAGAAAAGCATATAAACGGATACTTCAAATACGTTTTTGCTTTACCTGGATTAGTTCTTTTGAAAGCAAATTCTGACCCAACGGACGCCAAAGACTTAGGAAATAGTGAATTATTCCAGCTGTATGGGTTTCCGTCTTTTCTACTGGCTACCAAGGACACGTTCTTTGGGTTTACACCTGGGAGGAACGAAACAATCATTTCAAAGGTGAGTATGCGATTATATACTTAAAGGACAAACATCTAATATAGTCACACACATTAGAAACAATTGGGGAGAGTGGAAATCAGTTTATGTTTTCACTGTAAATACTTGCTTTTTCATGCACTCAAACATTTTGTACTATAGAAACATAAGATACGTCCTATACACTATATAAGTATGTGACATTCTTGTTAAATGTAAAAACTAACATGGCACAACAACTTTACTTCCAAAAGATAGTGGAACCCTGTCATGGAGAAGCCAGCCAAGAACTCAGGGGGGCTTGAGAAGTACCATATGGACATTCAAAGACCCATCTCTTGGGCTGATTTGTGTCTTAGATATTGTAAACGCTCAAAGAGAAGGTGTTAGAAATGTACTTGGAATAAAACACATTTGAAGTCTTCTGTGATTTTCTGCAGTATGTCAGTTCCTCCCTGGATTTAGATTTATATGCTGTGGTCAGATATGTTTTAATCTGTGCGTGTGTCTATTTCCTCTTTTTTTTAAACAAATCCATAATTTTATTTTATTTTCAGTAAGTTAATCTATTTCCTCTTACAGATCTGAAAACTACTTGAGCTTGTTTTCTTTTTACTTACAATTACGTCTGACTAAACTTGCGAGAAGGGAGCTCCAGTGGCCTAGTGGTAAGAAACTGTGCTGCAATCCCAAAGGCAAATCCACCAGCTGCTCTGCAGGACAAGGATGGGCAGTCTCCTCCTGCGAGATTAACTGCCTCTGAAAACCCACTGGAGGGTCAGCTATGGGTCAGTTCTGATTCGACGGTACACAACAACACAACAGACTTGTGAGATGGGAGAACCATCATACCATCTAAGGCTTTGGCTACATTAACACTAACTTTCTTTAGCACGTAGAGAAATCCATCACCACGAACTCCAGTATATAAAGCACATTAATAAAACTGTTTCCTGGCAGTATGAACCTCTGTTCACAAAGTGAAATCATTAGAAAATTTTCATCCTTAGGAAATAGACAATGATGTTCTGAGTTCTGAAGCCAGAAGTACTCAGGCTCAAATGTTCCTTATCTTGGTTTTCTAGCTAGCGGCTTTGGGAAGAAAGATGAAAAGTTTCATCCCACAAAGATTTACAGCCTTAGAAACCCAACAGAGGGTCACCATGAGTTGTAACAGACTCAGTAGCAGTGGGTTTGGGTTTTGTTTGTTTAAGAAACATTCATTCTGGTAAATCATTACCTTTTTTTTACAGGCTATAACCTCTTATGGTCTTGGTTTCTAATAAAGCATAATTATACAACACAATTACCTAACAGAAAAATAAAAGATGCCCTGTGTGACAGTTACTCATATTAAAAATACCTTTACCAAATATATATATAAAACGTAGGGGGGGAAAGAATCTCTCTAAGTGAAAAAGGCTTTAAAAAATACAGTTCACCAAAGACTGGTTCTCTGAATATTGGAATGTTTTTAAAAATTTAATTTTCTTTGGAAATAATCCCAAGTAGTGGGCTTTCTTTTTTTTTAAAGTAAGTATAGAGCAAGACAATGAATAAGGATGACAGAAGATGAACTGATGCCTTTGAGCTGCAATGTTGGAGAAGACCACTTAATATCCCATGGACTTCCAAAAAAAAAAAACCCAAACAGATAATGTCTTAGAGAAAGTGCAGCCAGAATGCTACTTTGAGGCAAAGATGACAAAGCTTCGTCTCACATACTTTGGACTTGTTGTTAGGAGAGGCTATTCCTTGGATAGAGATATGCTAGGACAGGTGAAAGGTTAGTGAAAGAAAGGAAGGCTCTCAAGAAGAGGGATTGATACCGTGACTGCAGCAATGGGCTCAAGTGTGTCAGAAGTTATAAGGATGACACCGGATAGGTCAGGGTTTGGATCTATTGCTCACAGGGTTCGTATGAGTCTTACTCAACTTGACCTACGTGACAACAACATACTTACGTACCATTGAAAATAACTGAGCTTAATTCTACATCTTTTTTAAGATGAAGAGAGACCCAGTTTTAGAAATAGACGCATCCTAGAATTTTCTCCACAGCAGCTAACACCAGCATAACATTATTTTATAAGCTTTTATTTGGCACCAAAAATAGTTACTAAACATTGTGTTTGTGAGAAGTGAAAATCAATATATCACTATACTTCACCTCAGAGGAGATTGAAAAGTCAGTTGGCAAATATTTACTGAGGACTGACTATATGCCAAGAAATGTGTGTGGCACCAGTGGAAAAGCAGTAAACAAAACTGTTGTTGTTGTTAGGTGTCGAGTACAACCCATAGCGACTCTATGAATAGCAGAACTGAAGTGTGTTCTATCCTGCTCCAACCACACAATTCCTGACACACTAGAACCTGTTGTGGCAGACTGTGTAAATCCACTTTGGCTAAGTGTCTTCCTCTCCTTCGCTGATGCTCTGTCTTTCTGAGCCTCATCTCCTTCTCCAAGAAATAGCCCCTCCTAGTGCCCTCCAAAGGGCACTCTGGCTGCACCCTCTCCAAGACTTATCTGTTCATTCTCTTGGCTGTCCATGGAATGTTCAGACCCATTTACATAAAATAGATCCATTTCTACACTTTTGAGTCTTACAATCTACACATCTATGAAGGGAGACAAAAATAAATTAGCTATTGTTAGGTGCTGTGAAGTTGAGTACTACTCGCAGAGACCCTATGAACAATAGACCCTGAACATTACCCAATCCTGCACCACTCTTACAATTCGCACATGCTTGAGCCCAGTGTTATTTATGTTCACCATCTATTATTGAGCGTCTGGCCTCTCTTTTCCTGATCTTCCCTATTTCCCAGAATGATTTTTTTTCCCCAGGGACTGGCCCTTCTTGTTGTATGTCCCAACTATGAAATGAAGTTACTATCTCTGCCTCTAAGGACCACCTTGGTTGCACTTCTACCAAGACAAACTTAGTTGTTCTTTTAGCAGTCTATAGGATATTCAGTTCTCATCTTCAACACCACAATTATTCTTCTGTCACCTTTATTTGTTGTCTAACTTTCAGATGCATAGGAAACATCTGGAAAGACTATGTCTGTCTCCAAGGAATAATCTCTCCTAGCAACATGCCCAAAGTAAGTGAGATGAAGCTTTGCCGTCTTTGCCTCCAAGGAGCACTCTGGCTGCACCTTCTCAAAACATATCTCTTTGTTCTTTTGGCTCTCTGTCCATGAGATATTAAGTGCTCTTCTTCAACACCACAGTTCAAAGGCATCAATTCTTCTGTCACCCTTATTCGCTGCCCACCTCTCCACTTCATAGCAAGTGGTTGAAAAGACTATGGCCTGAATCAGGCACACTTGAGTTCCTCAAACTGTCATCACTGTTTCTCAATAATTTGGAAAAGTCCCTTATTGCAGATTTTTCCCAATACAGTATGTCTCCTGATTTCCTGTCTGCTGGTGCCAAGTGTATTTACTGTGGATTCAAGTAAGAGGAAGTTGTTGACAGCTTGAATCTTTTCTCCATTTATCATTATGTCACCTATCCATCCAGCAGTGAGAATTTTTGTTTTTTTGACACGGAGATGCAATCCATATTGAAGGCTACAGTAATTGATTTTTTGTAATTAACAATTTAAGTCCTTCTCATTTTCATCAAGTTGTGTCATCTGCATAACAAAGGTTATTGATGAGTCTCTCTCCAGTCCTGATTCTTCTGAGTGATAGATTAAAAAAAAACCAAAAAAACCAGACCCAGAAAGTGTCATACACTCAAGAGGAAGAGCCATTTGAAGAACTGCCTGTAAGACAAGGCACACCAAAAATTACCCAGGGTTACTGACAAGAAGGGCCCCTTCCCTAACTTGACTTCAGGCTTCTAAAATCGTGAGGTAATAAATTCTGTCCTTTAAAGGCAATCTCTTAAGGAGTGTGTGTTACACGAGCACTGGGTAACTAACATAAATGTTACTATCCAATGACTGAAACAGTGTAGAGTTTTCAAAGACCTGTTGTAAAAGTGGATGGCCAATACTTCTTAGTCTGTTTTAATCTGGAAGGTCCACTGAAACCTGTCCCCCAAGAATGACCCTGCTGGTATCTGAAATGCCAAGCACACAGCTTCAGCATCATAGCAACACACAAGCCACCACAGTAAGGCAAACTGACAACCAAGTAAGTGGCGGGAAAGATAGAGAATCATCATGCAGGGAAAGAGAGGAAGTCCCCTGAGGAGATGGATTGACCCAGAGACTATCACAGTTAGCTTGATCAGAACAGAGATCATGAGGATAGTGCAAGACAGGGCAAGGTTCAGATCTGTGACTTACAGGGTTGCTACGAGTTGTAGTCAACTTGAAGTCGCATAACAACAAGAACAGCATATCCCATGCACATAATGGACACTTAATATATATAATTACGTGAACAAATAAAATGGATCAACCAGGCAACGGATGAAGAAATGAATGCTCATGGTACCCACTAATCCTGGAATATTTTCTGCAGGAGGGCTGGGGAGGATGAGAGGATAAGAATGTGCAGAGGGAGCTGGTACTCCTTTAAGAACCAGCTCATTTTTGAAAAAAAGTTTTCTTCCCCTCAAGGTGGGAACATGGGGGCGGGGCCTCCCTCCTCGACCCCTTCACACTTCTTACTGTTTGTTGTGTTAATGCTCACCCCTACCTCAGGGATCCAGGGTCTGGCATGCCTCATTTCCTTTTGGGAATCTCCAGCACGGACAACACAAACTTCTAAAATGAGGAAAATGGAGGGTGAAGGAAATACATTCCTGACAAGAGCTATCAAGCAGTATTAGAACTCGGAAAATGCCTCAGTCACCGAAGTTTTTGTTATGTGACATCTAGTCAACTGCAACTCATAGTTAGCCTATAAATAATAGCCCTGAATTCTGCCCTGTCCTGAGCTAATCTCACACACCTACCCCCTATCAATCCATCCCATCCAGGGTCTCCCTCCCCTGTGCTGTCCCTCCACCCTTCTGAGCATGGTATC